ATGATCCTATATTTTGTAACTCAACAAAACGTTGTGGAAGGGAAATAAAGCTGCAGCATCATGCGAAATGGCTTCCGTGCTCTTGATCACCTCACCACCAATTGAGCAGGGAAAGAAGCATATAAAAATGAAATAGACTTGGTCAAATTAAAGCCTCACCAAGTTAAACTATTCGTTACTGTGCACGGACAAACAAAATGCGGGGTGTCTACCAGAGCAATGCAGCCACTCTTTTTGCTCCCCCACCAAAGAACCCCAGGAGGTCGAAATTTCTGGAGCTCTCGACTACGGCGTCTCTGATAATCTTATGGTGGTCTTGGGACGTTAAACCTCGCATAACGATCAATCACCTAAAAAAAATTGGCCCCATATCTGCATGTTTCACTGCAAATGTCGTCAAAAGACGATAGTCTTGAGTGTGGAGAGAGTGTGCAAAACGTTTATTTCATCTTTTGCGTAAGTAAATTGGTGAATTGTATTCTGGAAGCGATGCGTTAGAGAGTCTCGATCCGTGAAGCGAAGGGGCGAACGAGCGCATCGAGGCACGTTAGACACGAGCGCCATCTGGCAGTTATCTTCGAAAATGAAGGAAGGCGTGAGCACCTGCGGAGAAAGATGCGCACCTGTCTCGGAAGCGATAAGGAGTAGAACGCAAAGACACGGGCAGGTGCCACCACAGTGTCGTCTTAGCAAAGCGTTGGAAACACTCTTCTTTTTGAGCATCGCGTTGCACTGTCAGCGCAGCGTGATAAACGCTACGGTACTTAGAATTACTTGGGTGTGTCTTCTATAGTATAAAGACACACATAAAAAACATCGGCGTGTTGTTATGGTGCGTCATATATGCACATTAATTGATTTTTAATTGACTATCACACAAGTATGAACGCTGAAACTTGAGCAATATTGGTGGGCGCTGCGGATGGGGTCGGCCGTTTGAGGTACCCTTATGTGTCTTTAGGGAGATCGTTACCACAAACAAACAGACACTTGTGCAGACAGACAGAAAGACAGTCAGACAGACCAATATATTGGCGTCGAAGGTCCCCAAGAAAGACTATCGTCTTTAAAACAGGCATCGCGTTTTCACTTCGCATAGGACGCGAATGCTTTGACTCGCACCTAGAACATACGATGTACGGAGTGGCATTCTTGATTAGGACCTTACAAGAAACCTCACGGTAGCGCGGATGACGATGACAAGAACTCGGTGGGAGTGTTTCCTATTAAACCAATTTTAATACAGTGGTTTAGTCAGCGACCAAGAGCTGTTGCTTTCGGGGATTGCGATGCGATTTCCTCTATTATTGCAGTTACCGCCTGTCGAGCGTGCTTTGCCGCAAAATAGGTCATGTTGCGGTGAAACATTATTGGGTGATATGCCCGAGAACTTGAGAGGCAACCGAGTGTTGAATAGTATCAATTAAAAATCTTGTTCTTTATATAGCGCAGCCGCAGCAGCATGCCGCCTGGAATTCAGAATAAATTATCAAAGTTAACTAAAAACTGCTTTCTCTTCCCTCGACAAATGACGAAAGACGCTCAAAAATCACTCGTAGAATGTTTGCACTCGTCACATACCTTTGTCATCCATTGCCGTCACGTAATACCAAAATTGGCTTATGTGAAACTAGCATAACGGCCGCGAGCGCATTATCAGTGTGGCATGTAGTTACGTTGTTACATGGCACGATGTCGTTATTATCATGTTTGGATGTGTCATTTACCTATGTCGTCCGCTCGCATCGCGTAGTTTGGTACATGTGAAGCTAGCCAAACGGCCGCCAGCGCATCATGAGCGTGGCTGGTAGTCATGTTGTTACATTACACGCATATCTTGATTATCATGTTTGCACCAGTCACATACTTTCGTCATCCATTCAGGTAGTGTAATACCAAATTTGGTATATGTGACGCTAGCGAAACGGCTGGGAATGCATCATGAGCGTGGCATGTAGTCACGTTGTTACATGACATGCAAATTATGATTTTCATGTTAGGGTCTGTCGCTTGTGTTCGTCATGCAATGATGACATACCATACCAGTTTTGCATTATGCCATGTGAACGAAACCACCGCAAGAGCTGCAGGACTATAAAATGTAAATTTATAGTCCTGCAAAAAAATGAAAATCATGACATTCATTGCATACATGTCCTGATTTTCATGTTATGACTAGTAAAATATGTTCTCCATACAGTCATGTTATGCCTTACCAAGTTTGGTATCGATACCATTATCTAAATGGTCAGGAGAGCTAAAAGCCGTAAGCGGCTAGATAGATAGATAGATATATATATATAGATAGATAGATAGATAGATAGATAGATAGATAGATAGATAGACAGATAGATAGATAGATAGATAGATAGATAGATAGATAGATAGATAGATAGATAGATAGATAGATAGATAGATAGATAGATAGATAGATAGATAGATAGATAGATAGATAGATAGATAGATAGATAGATAGATAGATACGCTCAAAGTCACCGAAGTTCGCTAAGAAATGCTTCGCATTTAAAAAAAGAAGAGTGCTCAAAGTTACGAGGCGCGTGAAGTTTTTTTTTTTTTTTTTGCCCCTCCCATCCCTCCCTACTACTTAGCTTCCAGCGCTTTCGTCGGTACGAGAAAATAGAGAATGTGAGTGCAGAATATGACAAATATTTGTAACTCTACTCGTACTGGACGCATTTTTAGAAGTTTTGCGGCGTTTAATTCGTGAGGCAATAAGCTATTCCAGTGAACTAATTCCATGGTTACTCAAAAATGTGTTTCAGGGCCCCTTTATTTTCCAGTTGTCACCTGTAGAGCGTGCTTTACTACTCGGTAATCGAAGTTGCGGTGAAACAGTGATATATATGCCTGAAAACTTGAGAGGTAACCAAATCATAAAATATATATATATATATATATATATATATATATATATATATATATATATATATATATATATATATATGTGTGTGTGTGTGTGTGTGTGTGTGTGTGTGTGTGTGTGTGTGTGTGTGTGTGTGTGTGTGTGTGTGTGTGTGTAAATGTGATGCGGAACTATGTATATTTAGCTGCATTACTCAGAGAAGCCAAGAAGTACATGCACAATGAATTTATATAATGAATTGACGGTTAACACCACTTCACTAGTTGCCTTTTTATGATTGTCTGTCGAGATTGCACTTGCGCTAGAGCTCGCCACCTTACCCTTATGTTAATCATAAGGGTAAGGTGGCGGCCACTTTGTATTGTGGGAGACAAAGAGCACACATCTGTCCTGAGCTTATCTGTCCTGATTTTCGTGAACCAACTAGCCCTCCTAAGAACTTTTGTGCAAAGTTGGCAGCGTCCGCTCGAACGACGTTGCCTCACCGCCCCCCCCCCCCCCGCCCGTGTGAGCCCCCTCATGCTCGTTTGCCAGACGAAAAACTGGTAGAGCGTTTCCTCTCTGCTTGAGGAATCGTCGGCCGCAGTCCGCGGACATGGGGCGATATTATCGCATGCACCTTCGTACAATGTGTATGACCGGCTCATTTTGTCTTCCTTTCATGCGCGTTCGTCCTCAGCGCACGTCCCCTTTAACTCGCGCATCGAACATACGATGCGTATTGCGATATTATTGATTGGGTCTTTACACGGAACACGGCAGTGATTTCAATGGCAAAATATTTTAGATTGCCCACCAAATTGTAACCACAATAAAAATGAGATCATGAACTACACCAAAGTTTACACATAAACGATATTGAGAAAGTCTCTGTATAGGTTGGTTTATTTGAACGCGTCGTTGTTATGAGAATAATAACAAGATTCGAAAAGCAGTTCTCGAAATGTATTGCAGCTTTACAAAAGCCAACAGAATCGACTAAATGTTAGAACAATGCGCTGTACAAAAAAGTCGTTAGTGCATCGCATCATGGTGGTCCTTCACAATTCGTTATACATTTCCTAATTTCTTTTAGAATGAATCTGCACGATATGGCTCGTTTGTGGCCCAGAAATATTCCATGGTAATCTCCATTGCAAGTGTCTAATGAAGCTTTCGTGAGCTACATACTTCACAGAAAAAAGGAAAACCAAATTCTTGTTCATTTAAAAAGGCTCGGCGTAACGACGCTAATTAGTGCGGCAGCGGCCACACTTTCATGTTTCCTTAGCAAAAAAATGATCGCAAACGTTATTATTATTATTGTATTGCTTAGTAATTGCTTGCCAAGACTAACGTGCCTTCTAGTGCTTCAGCACGTGCCCTTGTTCAGTCCTAGTTTTTTTTTTCCTTTAAAGGCTTCGTCTAGGCATAGTACTGCGTGATGGCGTAAAAACACATACAAATTTACGTCACATAGCAAGTACAGCGAAAAAATCAAGAAAACTACACAAGCTTGAAACAGGCAAACAAAGAAACAAAGATGTAAACACGTGGGACTGAGCTGAGTGCGCAACCCAGTCCCGTTCCGTCGGACAAAAATAAAGGTATTTTCATTTATTCCTAAACACGCATTCATGGAAGTAATATGAACGAATGGAATGAGAAACAAGCAAAAGAAACATTTGAATTAATGAATTATGAAGAAATAAGAAAATTATGTTAACAGACAGACAGACAGACAGACAGACAGACAGACAGACAGACAGACAGACAGACAGACAGACAGACAGACAGACAGACAGACAGACAGACAGACAGACAGACAGACAGACAGACAGATAGATAGATAGATAGATAGATAGATAGATAGATAGATAGATAGATAGATAGATAGATAGATAGATAGAATAGATAGATAGATAGATAGATAGATAGATAGATAGATAGATAGATAGATAGATAGATAGATAGATAGATAGATAGATAGATAGATGTTGCCATGTGTGTTAGGGCATGTATAACACCGTAAGCAATTTCCCATCCCTGCTTTCCTCTGCTGCCGGGCAAACAAAGCAAGGCATGTCTGCCCTAATGAGGAGCGCGTGTGGAGTCCCATTATTGGAACAGCACTCACGTTTTCCTCTTCGGGCTCCTTCATGGCTGGGTCGGTGCGAGACGGAGAGAGGTTCGCCTCGCTCCCTCCTGCGCTGCTTCCTCCGAGGCGCACCTCCTTGCGCACCTTGTAGGCGCGGAAGGTGGCCTGTATCTTGGTGGCAGCCTCGGCAGCCGCTCGCTCCTCGGCGTCCTCGTTGGACCGCTGGTGGTTCGCTTGCTGCTCGCCCTCCGCCGACTCGTGATCTGCGCGGAGCAATTAGGAAGCCACGGTCGTGTGAGTTCCTGTACAAATGAACATGATTTGAGATCGTCGTCATTAAGCGTGGTCGTAGGGAGAGACAGAAGGAACGAGAAGAAAGGCAGAGAGGGTGACCAAACGAGCGCCCGGCTTGCTACTCTGCACTGGCGATAAGGAAACGGGGATTAAAAAACTAACTGGAGGCCCTATGCTTTCGTCTAAGATGACACGAGGACTACGGACCCCCCTTTTTTTTCCTCAGTAGAGGTATTGATCTGCAACGCCACCCTGTGAAAGCTTTCTACACTTAACGTGGCTTCACATTACCTCCAAAATAAAGTAGAGGGCTGCTTACCTCGTTTTGCATGGCCTCCGTGATCTGCCCACTTTTACAAAGCTATGATGTGGTGCGTCGACGTCACTACATGGTACGTTTCCGTGATGTCACGACTTTTTCTTTCTTACTTTCTTCCTTTCTTCTTTCTTTTTCCTTTTGCCTTTTTTCTTTTTTTATTTGTTTTGTTCTCTTATTTCTCTCCCCGTGACACATACTCTTGCCTGCGAATTTCTTCACACACACACACACACACACACACACACACACACACACACACACACACACACACACACACACACACACACACACACACACATATATATATATCGAGTAAACCGTCAGCACGATGGCACTCACTAAACCACCTGATGTGGCCTCGGGCACAAAGGCGGGCCAAATCTGTCGTTCCGGTCAATAAAGGACGTCCCGCTCTCTTCGATCCTGCTTTATGCGCTTTGTTTACCTGAGGGAAGGGGGGGGGGGATAAGGCGAGTTGATAGTTACCCGGGAGAGAACAGAAAGGAGTCACCGGCCCATACATTGAACGACGTCGCGTCGTTCGTCACGTTGCCTCCTCCTTCCTCTCCTGGCAGTGTCGCTGTTCTCGCGCACTCACAAGGAGTAGTGTTCTGTACACTCCGCCTTCGCCTCCTCTACCGGCGCTTGTGCCTCTGCATTATGAAGAGCTTGCGCCGTAAGTCCCAGGTTCCACGCCCTCAATCACAGTGGCATTGAGTTGTTGACCCTGGCCTGTGCTCTCCTTGAATGGAGGCGTCCGCCCAGGTCCCTTTTTACGGCCTTCACCTCAAGGGGGCGGTATATGATAGACGTTCAGCCAAAAATGGCCGCTTAAATCAAAAGGGCTCGTGACAATGAACACGACTGCATCTTTAGGCGCAACCTTCAAGTCTCACGTTAGCTGCTAGTACAGCAACAGAAGAAGGAACAACTGAAAACCCTATTGCTGTATTCCTCTTTAATACTCGGAATTCGATGAATGTGAGCAGGATCGATGGAAGCGGACGTGTTTTTACGAAGCTTTGAAAGGTTTTCTTCCTAGAGTTCGCGAATAGATTTAACTGCCTGCATGGAGACAAACTTCACGAAAGTGAGCGTGGCAAAAACGTTCTTCGTCCATTTTTTGTTTCGGTCAACTTTCACGTTTGCAACGTTAGTAAATAACAGCAAGCAATCGCATCCCTAGATGCCTTTCCTTCAAGTGGGTCTCTTTCTAAAATGCGAATTTCTCTAGAAGAAGTTAGAAGTCTTTTTTTGTTTTTTAGTGTATCTGACAACACACGCTTTGTCAGGAAATTGAGGAATACTTGTCTGTACCAATTTTATGGATATCTTCGCGGCATAACTGAAAGGTACGGTGTATAACTCTGTCTCGATTTTTCCTAAGTGAGTATTAGGGCTTAACATGGGACAGGTGTGCAACATTAGGGGCAGTGATAAAAAAAAAAACTTTCTACGATGGGTTGTTTAGCTAAGCAGTTGACTTCTCGAGATGAGGACTTCTTCCTCAGGATACGCACGGTGTCACTATCGTCGGATGCCACAAAGTTTAAAATAAACAGAAAGCGGCATGTAGTTTTGTACATAAATAACGAAGCGAGTTCTGAGACATAGAGTCCTTGCCTTAGGGTAGGCAGAATACTGCGCACCAACATCATGTGCTTTTTGAGTGCTTGGTGTTCTCTCCACGAAAGTCCCCTCCCCCTAAAAAAATAGACCTGTGAATGTTCGATAACAAGTCTATTTTCGTTGTTTGCAATGTCCCCTCTTACAGGTTGCCGTAGAATTTTGCTAGACAGCCTGGCAGTAACAGGTAACGAAGCTCTTAAAGTTCAGACAAAAAAAAGCCCATTATGTTCCTAAAGAATTGCGCTGTATTGCTTTCAGCACTGATTGTCGGTGAGCGCCGCTAACGAAACAACAAACAGTGGGTGATACAAAGCAATGCTTTAACCATATTGTAAATGGCTACTGACCTGGAACATACGTGCCATGCCAGTGCACAATAGAGAAGACTCGATGGTCGAAATAGCGGGATTTCGCTTGCCTCATACTTATATCGTGCTTTTGGTACGCAAAAACGTTCATTTTATCAACTGAGAAGCTGTCTAAGCCGACAGTAAAGACTTTGGTGGGCATAAGCCCATACAGGACGCTATCGTTATGATGGACAGGTATGTACCACAGAAATTTGGCAAATCCTACTGCTCACAGCTGATCCACTAAAAATTAAGCAGAAAACAGAAGGGCAGCAAGCACGAATTAACATTTCTAGACAGACGTTACCTGTAATTGAGCAAAACTCTCATAAAAAAAAAAAGCCGCCAGGCCTCCGCGGAACGCGCAGTACGGTCACAGCAAAAGCTGGCAGAGAGGTCTTTCAGAGCCTTTTGTAAATACTACTTGGAAAATTGATACAGGCACACTGGCTGGGTACACACTAAGCCATAAATATTCATAATTTCTGTGTAGTAAGCTGGCATTCACTATGTTATCCTTCGTTATTCTTCTCAGAAGCGTGGTGTCCGCTACAGACTTGCAAAAAATTTTACGCAACATTTGTTATGCAGTGGTTGATGACGATGAAAAATTAGGCCTGAAATGGGTATGCGCCCTATCTAATAGGGGATCAACGACAAGCTTCTCTAATGCGTTGGGGCATCGTACGACCCACTCGTTATGCAATTCACATTCTGCACTCTAAAAAAAGAGCGAGTAAAAAGGGTGTCTTTTTGTCCCACAACAATAATCGTCATCTATATTGCGTTCCATCCTTGCGCTATCGCCCTGCGCCCGGTACATTCCGGTCGCGATCGACATGCCCATTATCAGGGTTACATAGCATTCTCGATAGGAAAGTGGCCAGCGCCGAGTTTTCAAGAAAGGAAGCGCACGCAAGCCTGATGACGATTATTGTTGTGGGACAAAAAGACACCCTTTTAACTCGATATTTTTTTAGAGTGTGTGGCACCTGGTTGTTGCTGTTCTCTAAAGCTTTATTACTAATATTAACGCGATTCCTTTCCCGACTTAAAGTTTGCCTGAGGCTAATTTGCGAACGAGTTTTAGCAGTGGCGTCGCTGAGTGGTACAATAGTGGGCTGGCTCGGAGGGGACCCGGGTTCGAACTCCGTTGTGTCCTTGGTGGTTTTTTTTTATTTACTGAGTTTTTCTCTTACTTAGAGCGATAGTGGTTACGAACACAGGCGGCGGTGGAAAACTACGGCACAGCACGTGACCCGTGTTGTGATCTCGCAACAGCTTTCGCTGTAAAACTGTAGGAGTTAACCAGTGATAAACACCTTGGCCGCACGTTTCAGCTTAATTGAACCATGCGCGTGAAGTGCTTCAGCGGCATGTGTAAGGAGAGAATATTAGAGGACAAAAAAGGCAATGATGGCTGCAAGAATAGCTCGAAGTGACGGAAGCCCTACGACAGCGACGACTGAGCGTTAAAACCTCCTGCGGGAGGAGCGAATACTCGGTGTCAGCGTGAGTTTTTGTCTCTTGAGTTTGGTTTATGTTCCGTGAGCGTCAATGGTTTAAATTGAACGTCTCTGCGCTTAGAACCAACGTAGAAACAACGTAGCAAAACCTTGCGCAGTAACGAATGATAAGCATACGCGGATGGTGGCTGGTTATTGTGCACCGGGAAGAAGGATAAACAGGTGAGAACTCATGGGGAAACGACAGCAGTAATTGTGGGTACGTTTGAAGGTGCGCGTCTTGTCATGGTGCGGTTGTAGTTTTAAGAAACCTTGCGACAAGCAAGTTTGTGCCCCCAAAATATGCGAGTTAGAGGTGCAGCGTGATCGCTGCTGTACATCGGTGTTCGATTGACTACTTTCTAAGCACTGCGTGTACCAAGTACGCGCGACAGTACTGTCATCGTAGTTTGTTTTTTTCTTGATTGCAGGATCACGCACGAAAATTGGTCAATTCTACAGTGGGAGAAGCTAAGAAGCGTTTCTGTAGAATCTTGAAAATAAGGAATTAGTCACTATTTGATTGACGTTGCGCATCGTTACAAAGGAGACGAAAGAATAGACGGGAAGAACGCCATTCTTTGCGCTCTTGCGGTCGCTTCTTTCCTCTTGTACGTAACGCTGCGCCACGTCCTTCAAGTAGTTATGCACAATCCAGCCCAACATCGCATGTTGCTAAGGTATTCCTTCCCGGAGAGTTCAGTTATTAAAGAAGAAAGATAAGCTGATGGCGAACGCCTCTGCAGCGAACACGACAAAACACTTGCTGAGTCAGTCTTGTCAGCCGTCACCCTCACAAAGAGAGAGCGAGAGAGACAGAGAGAGACAAAGAGAGACAGCGCGCTTGTGTTTGCGGAAATTTCGTTATCCAGCCCTATTGCGTGCAACCAAAATAATTTTTTTACGCATCTTTCTGCTTGACTGATTGTGTCGGTGTCATCTGACGAACCACGGACGCTGTCCAGGAACAACAGCGTGCGTGACACACTGCCTTAATTAGTCCGCGACACCCCCCCTCTCACCTCTCAACAAAGTCGAGGTATTTTCTGTTATCAGGCCTGCGACAAACACATACAAGGAAAATGCGTGCAGAACACTGCATTGAACTTTCTCTAGGGCATCAGTTCACTTATTTTTTTCGAGCTCTTATGCGGATAACTCTCTAC